AGTTGTGTGCGCGCTGTTGTTGGTATTTCTGGACGGGTTGCAGGTGGTGGTCGGTTCAAGAGTCCTTTGAAGTGATCCGCCCATTGTTTAATCTGTTTTTCTTCCTTGGTAATGGGCTTCCCTTGGCTGTCTTTTATAGGTTTCGCTTGTGTTGGTCTCTTCCCGGATAGAGATTTGGTTATCTGATATAGTGTCCTCAGGTCCCTTTTGCCTGCTGCCTTTTCAGCTTCAGTAGCTAGATTGTCGTAGAATCGTCTTTTGTCCTTCCTTGCCCTTTTCTTCACTTCTTTGTCCAATGCTTTGTAAGTTGAGCTCGTCTAAGAAGACTTGAAACAACTGATGCTTCTGTGCTGATGGGGTGTGATGGTGCGAAGTCTACATATTTGTTGGAGTATGTTGTTTTCTTCCCGAATATAGATATATTAAAACATCAGTTTTCCCTTCCTCTTAACTAGGCAGGCAGTCTAGAAATGGTATTTCACCGACTTTACAAGTGCAATGAGTACTTAAAGTGGGTTATCAACAGTAGTATTCCACATATAAGAAGAAAATGTTCATTACTGATCTATTTCCACGGAAAGTTAACTTTGTAGACGACCAATGCATTAAACACTTCATTTATAAACTAAATAAATAGTTATAGGTTGAGTCACTAGACTATTAAGGATAACGTCTGTAAGTTAGCCGGGTGGGAGGCGGTGCATGAAGGGTTGGAGGACTTCATCATGAGCTGATATCAGTTAGGGAACCATTGGAAAACCAGCGCTGGAGTACTGGACAGCTGTTTAATCCTAGCTTGGAACTCTTCACAGTAAGCACCCACCGGGTTCGAATCCAGGACCTTTTGGCTACTAGACGAGTCAGCTGGTAGACCATTTATGAGCCACTGAGACCCAATCCAATAACCTATGAATTCCTAATTCTACCAATTCATCAGATATCGCGACCACTTCGCATCGCGTTTGTCATTGGTTTTTTAATAAAATAGTAATTTTGAGCTGACAGTATAAAACATGTTGCGTAGTCACTCGAACGAAATGAACTTATGGGAGTTAGAAGACATCAGAGTTCGTAATGGAATGTTTGTTAGGAATTCGATATGCAGATATAAGGAAGTTATCTGCACCTTATTTGAAAATGGTTATTTCCACAGATCTCCAGTGTTGTGCTGCTTCTCCAACTCTTTTTCGTTTTGTATTTGTTTGTCTTCTTTTCGTGTCTTTCATGTTTTTCTGGAAAGCAAGGCAAGCTTTCATTTCTCTGAAGTCTGTGTGGAGATCAACAGAAATCAACAAAAAAATAAGATCCGGATTTTCAACTCCAATAAGAAGTTAGCGCTAATTTATGGATCATAGACTTGGAGCGTTATAAAGAGCTCCTCAAACAAACTACAGACCTTCATCAATAACTGTCTTCGCTTAATACTCAAGATCAAATGGCCAGAAAACATTAGCAATAATGAGGGATCTCTGGGAGAGTACCAACCAAGAACCTATTGTGCAACATATAAGCAGGAAAAAAATGGAGGTGGATTACCTGGACATACTCTGAGGAACCCATCAAGTAACGTCACTAGGCAGGCCCTCGATTGAAACCCGTACTGTAGGCAGTGAGTTGGTCGTCCAAGGCTGACTTGGAGGAGGTCATGTAAAGAGGAGTTGTGGAGCCAGGTGACGGAAACGTTGGCGAAGAACCGAACGCAACGAAGACATGTAACTAAAGCCCTATGTTTCTCTAGGAACTAAAGGAAACAATAATAATGATAATGTTTTACTGAAACATTTGTTCATATATCTCTGTTATTTGATACTGTTGTGTGTGTGTCGATACACCTCTCTTTATAAAGTACTGATAAATCTTGTTAGTAGGAAACGCCAAATTTCGACATTATTTTTTAAAAATGTATTCGAATGAATTAGTAGCATGTTTTACGCTGTTAGTTGTAACAGCTGATGGATACAGAGCTCCATAAATGCATTAAATGTAACTATTCACGGAGTTTAATCTTTTTCATGACTTGCTTTTTATTTTGGCTCCCCCCGTATATTCAAAATACCTACTATATTTATTTGGCATGGCGGAACTTTTATTCTTAAAATAAAGAATATTTCACTGAAAATATGTGGGCTTGATGACTGTCGGAGAATAGATTGATGATCACGTCTATGCTATACAATGAAATTTGTAACTTCATGTGCTCATTTATGACAATCATTTCTATCTGACACTGTAGGCTGACAGTATTTGGCATGTGTGTATTGAAACTATTTTAACACATTGGATACATTTTGTTCAAATTTCGTGTTCACGCATAATCTTTTCAGGTGAGCATAGAGAAAACAGAGGTGATGAGGATTCCTGGCCAACAGAAACACCAACAGCAACAACAACAACAACAGACAACAATCAGCCAGAATAAGTGGGAGGAACATGAAAGAAACAACCTCCTTTACTTAACTACCTGGGAAGCATTGTTTCAATTACAGGCGGACAGAACTGACGAGGATATCAAAGCCAGAATCGGAAAAGCAAGACAAGCTTTCACTAATCTTAAGTCTGTGTGGAGGTCAACAGCACTCAGCATCAAAAATACGATTAGGATTTTCAACTCCAATGTGAAGTCAGTGCTACTCACTATACGGATCAGAGGCTTGACGCGTCATAAAGAGCATCTCAAACAAACTTCATACCTTCATGAACAGTTGTCTTCGCTCAATACCACTCAAGATCAGATGGCCGGTCAGAAAACATCAGCAACCGGGATCTCTGGGAGCAAACCAACCAAGCAGTAATAAATTGTTCAAGAAATATGCAGGAAGAAATGGAGATGGATTGGCTGGCCATACTGTCAAAGAACCGTCAACTGACATCACTAGACAAGCCATTACTCGAGTGGAACCGGAAAGGGAAGCAGCGAGTTGGTCGTCAGTATGAGGGTGACATGAAGGAGGAGGTGATGTGGAGAGGAGATGACAGCATGTGGGCAGACGTTGAGCCACGTGAAAACGTTGGTGGAGAACCGAACGCAATGGAGACGCTCGACCGAAGCCCTATGTTCTTCTAGGAATTAAAGGAAATAATAATAACCCTTTATCTTACGTGTTTTTGTATGAGTAAGTGATAAGAAGGATATCACTGGAAGCATTTATGTAGACAGTACACTTCACACAGACTCGTAAAGAGGTCAATATTACACAACTCATCGGGTGTAAATTCCAATCAAGCTGGAGACATTAAGTGACTTACTTGTAGAAGTTATGTTGTAGTATGATGGACTGTGATCACTTCGTTGACATCTGCTGACGTAAAACAATGATAGAACTGCAGTTGAAATGTACTCAAGTTGTCAGTAATTATTATTCAAGCCAACATAGAACTTTCCACTGATGTGAAGTAGCAGTTCGACTAGATACACTTCACGTAAAGTACAATAAAATCGAAGAACCATATAGCTTTATTGGATATAATAATTCACAAGGAGTGAATACATCTTCACCAGTCAACCAATACCGAGAAAAATCACTTTTAGCCAGCCATATCACCAATTCTCTCCAGCCTTCATTGGTTTTACAACCGTACCGAGGACCTCAACCTACTTGGTTGTCTGACTGCCTGGCTTAAACTAACTGTTGTGGATTTCATTGACTGATGATGAAGCCATATTTTGGTTTGGCCAACACTGGCTAACTCTTTTCCAACCTGATCCATCCTATATCAGTTAGCTAACATTACCCATTTTTGAGGCAGGCGATGGCTAGACACAGCCTCCTCCTTACCTAGCAGTCGACCGACATCTAACGTCAATATTGTTCACCTTATTATACCATCACGTAACAACACGGGAGATAGATAGAACACAGACACCTATGATTAAAGACAGCTAGCTAGCCGGCCCTTTAATAACCTACTGAATTACGTCCATAAACGCGACACATATTACCTGTAAATGACTATTATCCGATATTCAAGTGTTATTTTTACTGTGATTTGATTGGTTACAAGATTTCGCTATGAACTGGAATCGGTTAGAGAACCGCTGGAAAAACTACCTGGGAATACTGGATAGCTGTTTCGTCAAAGTTTATGACTGTTCGAACCCCGGTGAGTGTGTGCTGATGAAGAGTCCAAAAATAAGAAAAAAAAGCAGCCATCCAGTACTCTTTAGTAGTTTTCCAGTGGTTGTCTAACCGATGTCAGTCATGTTAAAATACCACTATTTGATTGGTTCATGTTCAGTGAATCAGGAGAAATTGAATAAAAGAATGGATACTGAAGAAAGAATACTCTTTTCGATAACCCATTCATCATCAGGCTCTACAGTTATATATACATAATAGTAGTGAATGAATGAATTAGTATTATGAACAACACTAATGTTGCTGTTTAAATAACATCGAATCAATAACATTGATAGACTACAGTTCAGTAGCATCAACATAAAATAAGCTGAATTTCAGAAAAATTAAGAAAGATAATAATACAAATTCGTGAGTTTATATATAGTCTCTACTGAAGGCCAGCCAGTGCAGTAGTAGTGACTGGCTGGACTTGCTTCTTTTGCACACAAAGCACTGGTTGTTTCACGCGAATCACGATAGCCTCTACTGTTTTAAGCATTCAGTGCTTCAATGTTTTTGGCAGTTTATTAGTCACCCGGTAGATGATAGAGAAGGATTCTTCAATACTGACTGGCTTTGTGGCCGGTTCTCACCAGATGGTATAATATAGAACCTTTACTTATCCATACAGGGAGATGTTCTCGAGTGAGCACAAAAAATCAAGTTCCTAGGGCAACAGCCAATATAACTCGCTCCACCACAAGTGCAGTTGAATTGGTAGATATAATTTGAAGTGGCTAGTCTAAGTACTTCATCTTTCAGTCAGTCAAGGAATCATAATCCGTTGTGTAGAGAATAAGACGTGTAGTTCACCAGCGTTAAATGTTCTTTGAACTGATTTTCATAATTTCTAAATAATCTTTTTTTCAAATTTCCTTCCAGATCAATATGTTCAATACTAGTAATATTTGTTATAGCCGGAACAATCACAGATTTATGTTTTTATATTAAATGGTTTCGAGAGAAACAATCTATTAGAGAATATACAAGATTGAATCATACTCATGAGACAAATCTAAATGAAAATTCAAACGTGAATGAAGAGTACAGTCAACATTTCAGCGAATCAGACAGTAGAATTGTCTACCATGAAAATCAATCTAGATCTGGTGAAAAAGATTCTGAAAGTTTTATGGCCTATCGAAAATGTAAGTTGTATTACTTTTCATAGGGGTTTGATGATTAAAGCTTTTACAAGATAATTTGAAGTAACAATCAAGTCTGAGTCGTTGATATTTCACTTAGTGGTTCAATATCCTCTTTGTTCAGTTATGTTATAAATGGCATGCCGCATGTGCTTCGGGGTCCAATCTCCGGCTGACAATCTCCTTTACCTCGCTAGGCCAGTAACAAGACTGGTAGAGGGAAATTCGGGCATGAGGATAGCAACCCCATCCCGTTAACGTAAGTACCACTGCTTCTGTAACTTCAAGGCTCTAGCTTGAAGCCACTTGTGTTCTACTGGGACGTAAAGGAATAAAAATAAAAACAGTAAAACCTGAATCTACAGATGCAGGTGAAATACATCTATCATATATTATTATTATTGCTCCCTTGGGTTTCTAGTGGAACATAGGGCTTCAACTGCACATATCCACTTGCTTCTGTCTTCTTCTCTGCTGTACTTTTAACCTGCATCCATGTTAGTCCATACTCTTTCAACTCCTCTTCACACGATCTCCTCCATGTCACCCTTGCACAAACGTCCCACTCGCCGCTTACCTTTCGGCCTGGTTCCACTCGAGCAATGGCCTGACGCGCACGTGATGTCACCCAGCGGCCTCTTCAGCGAGCGAGTTCCCAATCCATCTCCACTATCTCCTGCATATTTTTTGGGTTCTTGTTTTGTTTGTTCCCATAGTTTCTTGTTGGTGATTCTTTCCGGCCGGGTCATCTGATCTTCAGGATAGAGCGAAGACAGTTGTTGATAAATGTCTGCAACAGGCTGTTGGAAATATTGTTTGCGACCCGCCCGCCAAGTTTCTGATCCGTATAGAAGACCTGACTGACTTGACGTTTGTATTGAAAATCCGACTGAATTTTGTTGTTGATACTGGCTGAGTGAAGAAGATTTTCAGATTGATTTCAGCTTGATGAATGTGTTTCTCGCCTTCCCGGTTCTCGCTCGATTTGACATCCTCGTCCGTTCCGACTTCCTGTAGTTGAGACAATGCTCAATGCTAGATAAGTGAATGAAGTAACCTCTTTCAAATCCCTCCCGTTGATGGTGATTGACGCTGGATTTTGCTGTTGTTGTTGGCTGGTAATTTTCATAACCTCCTTCTTGTCTATGTTCACTTGGAGTCCTGTCTTCGCCGGCTGCTTCTTCGACCAGTTTGTCAGTTTTCGCTTGTAAGTCTTCGATTTTGTGTGACACCAAACATAAATCATCCGCGAAGTCATATATGCGTTATAATAAAGGTTTTTTTAATTTCTGAATGAATGAAAAACAAAACCATATTGTTTTTACTGAGGTTTCACTAATAGTTTATCAAAGTATTAATAAACCAGAATACTTGTTTTCGATACAACAACCACTACAAAAGGACACTCAAAATATTGTAAAAAATTCATATGATTTCAAATCCCAAATAGGACACCGAGAAATTGATAAAGAATACATTATGGTAAGCTATGACGATATTAACTCATTACATATTAGTATCCCTATTACAGAAAGTCTTGATATCATGTCTGGTCTACTAGAATCAGATACAACGCTATCACAAAGATGTCCACCGGACACCAGTGAAATAATTAAGAGCTTGAAATTCTGTCTAGAAAGTAATTATTTTACATTTAAAAGGAATTTATATAGACAGACAAATAATGTTGTTATGGCTTCACCAGTTTCCCCAATAGTCGCTGATCTTTTCATGAATAAATTCGAAGATAACATCTTTACAAGCATAGTCACTCATAAAATATGGTTAAGATATGCAGATGATACTTCTGAAGCGCTAAAACCAGATCTACACAGTTCATTTTTGGTGAAACGGAACAGTCTATCTCCCAGAATCCAGTTTACTTCGGAAACAGAATCAGACGTCGGTGAACGACCATTTCTAGACTGCCTTCCTGTTTAAGAGGAGGGAAAAAGGGACACTTTAGTGTATCCATATTCAGGGAGAAAACCCACTCCAATAACAAATATTCAGACTGCGGATCATCACACCTCATCAGCGAAAAGATTTCAGTTGTTTCAAGTCTTCTTAGACGAGCACACTCTTCGATGTTAACGGATGTGAAAGAAAAAGAAGAAGAAATATCAAACATTACAGGGACTCTCAAGCAAAATAACTACCCAAGGAACTACATCAACAAAATCAGCACAGACATTAAGTATGGCGGAAAACGCATTCCGAAAGCATGGACCTCAACAGTCGTCATTTCATATAGAGCAGAGACGTCAGATGATATCAGAAGAGTACTCAGTTAGGTCGATATTAGAGTTTTCTTCAAAACATCAGACACAAACTGCGAAACAACCTTCTCCAAATAAAAGACCAAATCTCCAAAGATTCTCTCTAATTGTTTCTATAAAATAAAATGCTTGAAATGCGATATACTTCGGACAAAGATCGCGAGAAATCAAAATCAAAAGAAATGAACACTGTAGAGCATCTGTTCAACCATCCAGAAATCCTGTTTAACTAGAAAAGCTTGAAAAACCATCAACCATAGTTGGTCTACACGCTACACTGTTGAATCAGGTCACAAAAGTGATTTTCACAATTTCGAAATCACCATCCAGAAAAATTTCAGAAATCACAAAGAACGTCTAATATCATCAGGAGCACTTCATATGATCAAATGGAATTCAAATTGTCTGATTAGGAGTGATTGACTAAAACAGAATTTGACATGGTTACAGCACCCCCTATTTCTTGCATGAAATGACAAAATCTACACGAAGTTAACAAGCAATTTCCTTATGTAAACATATGTTGGTTTTATAATTTTACACACTTATCAAATCCAATAATCTACACCTGGTTTTGTTATCTCTACCAATTGGACAATTTGACAATGCGAAAATGACCCCATGTTGAGAAACAACGAGTAAGTGGTTATTTAAATGCTGAGATTTTGTAAATTCTGGTTAAATATTGCTACTTTGACAAAGCTGTTAGCAGGAGCATTAGATAGCGAAATGTCAATAAAAACAATATGGTTATGCTTTTCATTCATTAAGAAATACAAGAAAACCTTTATTAAAATGAATATCATATACCCAAATTAGTTTCGAACTGTTAGAAGTGAACTTGGTTTGGACATATATTTCATATATTCAAATCAAAATTTGCATAGTTTCTGCCTACTGTACTTATTTCTATCTTCCTTAAGTATTTTCTGGGTTGTTTCACAAGAACCGCTCGTTTCGTTTTTTCACCATTAAAATCTAGCTCTCAATTGTTTGATATTTTCGTTGTTGACATACATATTTTTTATTTGTATCTATATACTACTTACAAAATTTGTCAGTAGCAGACGCCACAGTGCCCCTCAACTCGTAGCTAAAGGCTAATTTTGAACTGAACTTCACTTCCAATAGAGAATTTTGCACAATAATGCATCGATTCAAGTTACTAAACTTCAGAAAAGCACAAATAAAGACTGAAAGGCAATGAAATTGTGATATAAAGAAATCTGCTGGCTACAGAATTATTACAGGAAAAATATATTTGAATCTGAATATAATTGGTGTATGGTGACTAGCAGTGGTGGAATCCAGAATGCGTGTTTCGTCCTGTTTGAGACTCGTCATCTGGATGCACCTGAATAAGAATACGTCTGCACTAGGAAAATCACCGATGATCTTGAAGTAATGATTTTTAGTTTTGCATCAGAAGAAACTTATTCAAACAGTCTTCATATCTTTGTATGGCTTAAATCAGGAGTCAGTGATTAATGAACTAGTGCCACAACTAACTCTTCTCCAACCTAATGCTGTATCAGTTAACATTATTCCATTGTCGAGGGCTTGACATAACTTGGTATGTGTATCACGTATTTAAGCTATCTGAATGTATGCTGCTTTACAACCTTATCGACTGATTCCACTCACCTTATCATAGTGAAGTATGATGTACATAAATATATATAAAATCACTTAAGGCGTAGTTAATTTTTATAAAGTCATTTATTGCTTTGTGTGTAAAACATTGTAATGAACATGCAGTGCATGATTGTTATTGAGTGTATTTGTTAGCTTTTGACCGATCGATAATGCAAATAGAATTCATTTGAAATCATTGATTTTTATAGTATATCTAAGTATCTGAAAGTGAATGACTGACTAGCTGACTGACTGGTTTCAAGGTGGAAGGAACTTTGCACACAACTGCAACAGTTCAAGTCGCTACAATCCCTCTGTGTAGCACATAAAGCCAGAGAAGAAAGTAAAAAGTAATGCAAAATAGTGACAGTAAACAGAGATATTAGGCAAAAGGAATGGTAGTCATAAGGAAGAACAATTTAAATTTTATTAGATATTATAAGTCACAAGGAGTAGATGCAGTCTGAGCCACTGAGAAAGATTTCAATCCATATCATCAATTGTTTCCAGTCGTTATTGGTGTTTACCATGCCGAGGACCCCAACCAGTCAGGAAGTCTACATATCCCTACGTGGCCAGCTTAAACTAGCTGTTGGGGATTTCATTGACCGATGAAGCCATATTTTAGTTTGACCACCAGTAACTAGCTCTTTTGCAACCTGATCCATCCTGTGTCAGTCACTTAACATTGCCAGTCGTCGAGGAAGGCAAGGCATACGTAACGCATGTCTTAACCACCTCGACCAATGTAACTTAAGAGCCTCGTGTACTGATTTCCCCTCCCTACTAACCTAACACTCGACGCCTAACCTCAATATTGCTTACCCTATTATACATAGTACTACAGTAACCCCGATTCCCTTACAAAAATTTAGCATTTCGACACTAAGAAAATTATTTCTGATTAAGATAAATGGCACTTATACGTGTGCAGAAGAGTTCAATACAATACAAAAGTCAAATGAAATCTGTTTTGAAAATAAAGAACAATAAGCAATTGATATTGAGTGTCATTTGAAAGTCACACATATTTATATTACATCTAATTCTACATAGCCTTGTTCGTCGGTGGTATAGCGGCTAGGACGC